TCGTACAATGCAAGTGCCTGCATGGATACTTATGAAATGACTTTTGATTCGACGCTAAAGTAATGGGGAGAGGAGAGGATGAGGAGAAGAAGGAGGTTTCTGAGTCGTACAATGCAAGTGCCTGCATGGATGCTTAATTAAATTTCCCTGAAACCAATCCAGTGTGCCTGCAAAGTCCAATGTGCGCACCTACCAACACCCCTCCGCACACCTACCAACACCCCTCCGCACACCTACCAACACCCCTCCGCACACCTACCAACACCCCTCCCTACAGCTACCAACATCCCTCTCTGTACACCTACCAACACCCCTCCGCATACCTGCCTGCACTCCCCTCACCGTACCTGCCTTTCCTCTCTTGCTCTGCTTCCAGCGAAGCAGCTGACCTCCACCCTCCACGCTACACTCGCCCCTTGACTTGTAAATCAACACACCATACCTACACGCACCGCACCGTACCCAGTCCCCTTTCCATACCTGCCTCTTCCTCTCTTGCTCTGCTTCCAGCGATGCAGCTGACCTCCACCCTCCACCCTTCCATCATAGATCACCACACCATACCTGCCTGCACCGCATCATACCTACCTGTCTGCACTCCACGCGCCATACCTGCCTCTTCCTCTCCTTCTCTGCTTCCAGCGATGCAGCTGACCTCCACCCTCCACCCTCCACACCAACTCGCCCTCCCATCACGCCACCCCTCATCTCCCCACCTTCCCCTCCTTCCCCTCCAACCCTTTCTTCCCCCTCTTCCCCATCCTCGTCCTCTCTCCTTCCTTCCTGCCCCCCTCCTCCTCCCATGCGACGCCTCACAAGCCCAGCAACCTCATAGCCACTGCTGCTACCTCCCCCTCTGCCCTCTCCAGAATCACCCGGCAGGGCTTCGTCGGCTTCTGCTCTTCCTCCTCCTCCTCCTCCTCCTCCTCCTCCTCCTCCTCCTCCTCCTCCTCCTCCTCCTCCTCCTCCTCCTCCTCCTCCTCCTCCTCCTTTCCTTTCGCCCTCCCTGCTTAACTCATTGGATCGCTGGTCTTTTACTCCTGGCCCTGCGGATCGCAGTGAGCGGCCTCGGCTGGCCTCTAGTGCTGCCACCGCTGCTTGCCGCGCCTCCTCCCGCTGCTGTGCCTGCACACGCGCCTGTGGCGTTGATTGGGGGAATGAGGGCTCGGATTGAGCAAATGCACTCTCTTGCTGCTGTGGATCACTCTCTTGCTGCTGTGGATCACTCTCTTGCTGCTGTGGATCACTCTCTTGCTGCTGTGGATCACTCTCTTGCTGCTGTGGATCACTCTCTTGCTGCTGTGGATCACTCTCTTGCTGCTGTGGATCACTCTCTTGCTGCTGTGGATCACTCTCTTGCTGCTGTGGATCACTCTCTTGCTGCTGTGCCTGCACGGTTGCACCAGGCCCTGCGGATCGTATTGAGTGGCCTTGGGCGGGCCTCGTCTGGCCTCTAATCATGATTCATGCCACCGCTGCCTCCCGCTGCTGTGCCTGCACGCGCGCCTGTGGCTTTGCGAGCGAAACTTGAGGCGTTTCAGAACAAGGATGCAAATTGAGGCAAGTAAAAACAACATTTTTTTTCCTTCTTTCCCCCCACCCCCCTACCTTCTCCCCCTGTCGCGCCACTCACTCTCTCCCTCGGCAGCAGCCTTCGCCTCCTCGTCCAGTCGCCGCTGCTGCCTCACTTCGTTCTCCTTCCCGTGCGCTCCCTTCTTTTGCCCTAACTCCTCTCCCTCCCCTCTCCCACCTCCCACCTCCCTCCCCTCTCCCCTCTCGCGCCACTCACTCTCTCCGCAGCTGCCGCCTTCGCCTCCTCATCCAGTCGTCGCTGCTGCCGCTCCCTCACGCCCACCACCGCCTCCTCTCGCTGCTCTGCCCCTGCTGTGCGGAGGCGGAAAGAAAAAGGGGGGGGTGGGGGATAGAAGAAGGGGAGAGGGGGGAGACGATTGACGATTGAAGATTGACGATGAGATCGTCTAAAGTACAGCTCGCTAAGAATTCGCTGCTGCCGCTCTCTCACGGGCGATTCTGTAGAATTCTCAAGAACCACCACTGCTCCGCATCTTCTGCGCGGGGGGTTCCGAGGTGGCCGGGATGAAAGATCGAAGGTCGCCGTGAAGCAACCTCGCGAAAAAAAAATGTTCGCTCATTTACATTGATATGAAAGCCTGAGAGCCCAAAATTCGCGACAAAGTTCGCGGGAAACGCGTTAGCTGTTAAAAAACGAATAAAAGCTGGGAAGACGTTAATGAGCGCGCGGATGTTTGGACGTATACCGACCCCGCTAGTAACGCGTATCCCGTCTCGCCTGATTCGGACGGTGGTCGAATCCATTGCGAGGCGAGTATCCTGAGATGCCGGACCGGTATGAGTAGCCAGTCAGCCGTCAGCGCTAACAGAACCGTCACAGACGCTGCTAGGAGCGTGGCCTCCGCAACCGCCTGGAAATTCGTTAAAACGCGAGTCCAGGCGAAGCGCGTGCCGTCGTCATAGAAAGATCGATACTGTCGAAAGTGACTGTAGAGAGAGGCAATAGCGGCACCGACGCCGGCTACGATAACGGTGATCGTGGTATTTGATAGACGCATGGTGGACTAATGAATGGTTGTGAATGGTGCACCAAGGAAACGTCAGAAGTGGCTGTGACTGACCTAGGTAGTACAACTAGGGCGATACGCAGTAGATGCGGGTCAGTCGTAGCGAAATAATGCACTAAATCCGACATTGCGTGATTCAATTTGCGAATGGAGTGGTGCAAGTGTTTCCGTAAAAACATGAAAAGTAACAATTTCTGTTACCACACAGCAGCACAGAATCTTCGAGTGCGAAAACAAAGTCCGGCTCATGGTTACCAAACAGCTGACGAAAAAGCAAAAATTCGTAGCTGACGAGTTTGCATGAGATTTACCCTGTCCGGCTATTAGCAACAGACGGACTTTGTTTTCGCACTCGAAGATTCTGTGCAGAGAGTCCCAAACCCAGGGCTACTAGCAGCTAGAGAGCCGTAAGTATGAGGCTTTCGTTGTTCCGAGTTACCTTTTGAAGCGAAAGCCGCTTAAAATTGCTACGTCAGGAAAAAAACTCGACCTACGCCTTTGGGAGGAGTGGGGATTGTGGGATGGAGCATATCAAACTCAGCCATAGCCAACACTGAACTTCAAACGGAATCGAGGAAGTCATGTTTGTCACAGTGGGGCTCGAAAAGAATATTGGGGGTGCACTTTATGTTTTAGGACTCAAGAAAAATATACACATACTAACCTACGCATGAAAGGCAATCACCCTTTTAGTGTGAGCCTTGCCCCAGGCGCTCAGGTTGAAAAAACCGTCGCCGCAGGACGAGGCTAGAATTGCGCTGATCAGGTGGGCTTGATTTCGACATGGGGTCAACGTCGCTCGCTGGGAAACATAATATGCGAGCCGCAGCAGCTGAAGCCCAACCAAACCCATCCAAAACGCTACGTATCAAAGCCAAACACTCCCGACCTCAATCGGTGGTAGGGAAGAACAGCTGGCGAGGGGAGGCGACGTCTCCATGTTTCAAATTCAACGCCTGCTGTGCCGTGCTACTGCTACTGTGCAAAATCAGAGCAGATGAGCGTCGCGGCGCGGACCGGTGGGGGATTCATCCATACCCAACGTGGCGGTGCTGCCTCCCTCCCGTCCCGTCCTCCCTCACTAAAAAAAAAAACAATTCGCGACTCGACGCGTTTTTTGTGGGCACTCCTCCACCACAGAGAAGAAACCTCACAGCTCAGCTCAGCTCTGCCAGGCTGGGTTCGTCTCGGTTCGGATCGGCTCGGTACAGTTGGCACACCACCACACCACCACCTGCACGACGATGACATCAAGTCAAGGTGAAACACCCCAAGGGGAATACCTTGTGGCCATGCGACGTACACCAGCCGTTACTGAATCGCATTTCTTCGGGCAGTCTTTCGTCATTCCTTCGCAGATCAGTGTCCCACTCACCTCCCCCGACAAGGTACGTGTACTGTACTGGTACGTCTGTCTGTTCCCTCCCTTGCTCCCCATCCCTTCCCATCCAACAAACCCCTCCCCCTCTCCTCTCCTCACCCACACCCATGTCTCCCAACCCAGCCATTTCACCCGACCCGAGCTCCATCATCCAGTCACTCAAGCGGCAGCAAGCATCAGAGTCTATCGTCATCTCATGCACCAAGTGCACCTTCCCCCCCGCCCCCAACTCGTCGGCTTCGTTTTCTCAAGCCATCTCTCCCCCCATCGCATTCACGCGCCTCCAAGCCCGCAGCATCCAATAATTGCGGCATTCGACGCTCGTCGCTCCTTGCTCGGATGCACCGACCAATAATTGTGCCATTTTCCGCTCCTTGCTCAAATCTCCAGGCAGCGCTTGAAGTACCAGCATAGGAAAGTGCAGCATTCGACTAAATTGCTCATTGCTCGACCGTCCATGGGCTTTCTATTATTAGAGATCACCGCCGCTCTCGCACTTCCTTGATTCGACGACTCGTTTTTTGTCGCCGCGCACCCGACCAGGCCCGCCATTGAAGCAGTTCCTTAGAAGGCCGAAAGAGCTATTAGTGCACCAGCGTCCGGACCAACTCTGCTGGATCTCGTTCAAAGCGGCTGGTTATTAATCGACGTGTGTTACGAACCCATCCTGCCACAGCGGCTGAATCTATTTCAGAGCGCCTGAAAAATAGACTCGAGTAAAGAAACAGCTTCTTGCCTCGACCGTCGTCTGCTCGCGAGCAACCCTTGTTCGCGAATGTTCCTAAGCTTCTGAATACCCGTACCTCATTCACTACTACGTTTCCGTTCCTGAACTTTTCGCTTCTCACCTTTCACCCCTGACCGTCAGAGACGAACCATCTCGTATCCATCCACCACGTCGCTCGCTTCCCGGCTTAGCTGCTAGAAACGCATTCGATTGTAGATCGCGCGAAGTAGCAGCTTCCGCGCAGTAGCTTCCGCGAATTAGCATCTTCAGCGCGGAACAATCAATCGGCGCAATGTGGATCTCCGCTCAGTTCCCCGCGCGCCTCAACGTGTTCCGCCTGTCCGTCGCTCTCATCGCGGCCACCTGCCTCGTCGCCCTCCCAGGTCCGTCTTTTTGAGGCGCCTCAAAAGTCGGTTGCTCTCAGCGGCATGATCCAACGGCGGTCAGGAATCCGGATCTGGATGCAACATGTGCGAATCGACGCCGGAGAAATGTTGTTTCGGACCTCCGCACTTCCTCTCCGCCAGACGTTCTTGCTGCACTCGCGCAGACGGGCAACACGGGATGAGCTCGAGTCCCCTTCCTCCCCGCACCTTCTCCTCGTTCCCCGCTTTCCCGGTTACCCCCGTCACCTCGCTCTCCCTCCCCGCGCCCCGCATCCCCCATTCCCCTCCGCCCCCATCCTCCCCTCGCCTCCATTCTGCAGCGCGCACGCGTGCATACTTACAAAGCGATATATTTTTGACGGGGGGACAAGAGTGTGTACAAAATAGCGTGCACGCGTGCATACTTTACAAAGCGAGATTCGCCCATCCCGTCCCTTGCTCCCGCGCTTTCCCCCGGTCTTCTCCGCAATCCCAACTCCCCCCCCCCCCGCTCCCTCTCCCACACCCTTAACTTGCAACGCGCGCGCATCCCTTCAGTGCGACATCTCATCCTGCTTCTTCCACCCTGTTTTCCCTCCCCCGTTCCTCTCCTCCTCTCACCCGCTCTCCCCACTCCCACATTCTCCCGCCTTTCCCATTTCTTCCGCCCCTATTTCCCCTGGCCCCCCGCCTGCGCAACCGCAGCGCGCGCGCAGTCGTTCCGCGTGAGCTCGAACCCCGCGCTGGCGGAGCTGAAGTTGGAGCACCTCAACCGCTTCTTCCGCAGCCTCACCGTGGCTTATAACGAGTCGGAGGAGTGGTGGGAGCCTGAGCTTTCCATCGACTGGCGATGGGACGACCGTCTGAAACCCGTGCTGGGGCTGCGCACAGAGGGGGCTTGCAGTAAGTGCTGTTGTTGCTTCTAACGAGTTTTCTACAAACGGGACAGCTTATAACGAGTCGGAGGAGTGGTGGGAGCCTGACCTCTCCGTTTACTGGCGGTGGGACGACCGCCTGAAACCCGTGCTGGGGCTGCGCACGGAAGGGGCTTACAGTGAGTGCTCCGCTGTGCCTGCTGCTCTTAACGAGTCTGCTACAACCAGATGGTAACGGCGACGACGGCAGTGGAGATGGCATACTCGATAAGAGCTCCCGCGCTTCCCTCTGCTTTCGTCCCCCCACTTCTACTCTCACCGTTACGTTACCCCCCCACTCCCCCCACTCCCTTCACCCTCACTCGCTCAGAGTCCTCATGGGCAATAACGGCCGTGACAGCAGTGGAAATGGCGTACGCGATAGTAGCTCCCGCGCTTTCCCTCATCCCACCGTTCCACCCTCTCTCTCCTGCCTCTGTTCACCCCTCCCTCTGTTCCTCCCCCCTCCCCTTCCTTCCATCCCCGCTCCCGTCCCTCCCTCCTCAGAGTCCTCATGGGCAATAACGGCCGTGACAGCGGTGGAGATGGCGTACGCGATAGTAGCTCCCGAGTATCCCAATCTGCCGCCCGTGGCGCGAGTGTCGGTGCAGCAGGTGCTGGACTGCGAGCCCAGCAACAGCAGCTGCAGTGGCGGCGGGTGGCCGACGTCAGCGCTGGACTACATGGTGGACGCCACTCAGGCTAACGGGGGCCTCGCGACGGAGGCTGCTTACCCTTACACGCAGAAGCAGGGCGCTTGCAATGTGACTAGGGTAAGCAGTGGCTGTGGCGGTGCAGTGTGCATCATGATTGAGTGAATGCGAGGCGGGTGGCCCACGTCAGCGCTGGGCTACATGGTGAAGCATCTTCTGCGCAAGTGGCCTCAAACTTCAGTTCTCCCCTGCTTCTCCCCCACCTGCCTCCCCCCCACCTGCCTCCCCCCCACCTGCCTCTGCTGTGCGCTGCAGTCGCAAGGAGCTACTGCGAGGGAGCGCGGCCAACCAAGGCCATTGGGGTGATTGAATACAAACGGCCACGTGTTGTCCTCCCCACACACCCCTGCCCTCCCTCCCTCCCCACACACCCCTGCCCTCCCTCCCTCCCCACACACCCCTGCCCTCCCTCCCTCCCCGCCCTCGCACCTCTCCCTTCCCCCTCACCCCGCAGGCCAAGGAGCTGCTGCAAGAGCGTGCCCAAGGCCATTGGTTGGGGTGATAGGGTACGAGCCACGTGTTGACCTCACACTTCAGTTCCTTCCGCTCCCTCCCCGTCCTCGCACCTCTCCCTTACCCCTGTGCGCCTCAGTCCAAGGAGCTGCTGCGCAAGCGCGTGCCCAAGGCCATTGGTTGGGGTGATAGGGTACGGTACGACGAGATGAGATGGCCTTACTCACACGTGGATAGGGTGAAGTGTGAGATGAGGTCAACACGTGGATAGTGAGATGGGCGGAGAGGGGGGCCATCTCATCGTACCCCTGTGCGCCTCAGTCCAAGGAGCTGCTGCGCAAGAGCGTACCCAAGGCCATTGGGGTGATAGGGTACGAGCCACGTGTTGACCTCACACTTCACTTCCTTCCGCTCCCTCCCCCCCACCCCACCTGCCTGTGCGCCTCAGTCCAAGGAGCTGCTGCGCAAGAGCGTACCCAAGGCCATTGGGGTGATAGGGTACGAGCCACGTGTTGACCTCACACTTCACTTCCTTCCGCTCCCTCCCCCCCACCCCACCTGCCTGTGCGCCTCAGTCCAAGGAGCTGCTGCGCAAGAGCGTACCCAAGGCCATTGGGGTGATAGGGTACGAGCCACGTGTTGACCTCACACTTCACTTCCTTCCGCTCCCTCCCCCCCACCCCACCTGCCTGTGCGCCTCAGTCCAAGGAGCTGCTGCGCAAGAGCGTACCCAAGGCCATTGGGGTGATAGGGTACGAGCCACGTGTTGACCTCACACTTCACTTCCTTCCGCTCCCTCCCCCCCACCCCACCTGCCTGTGCGCCTCAGTCCAAGGAGCTGCTGCGCAAGAGCGTACCCAAGGCCATTGGGGTGATAGGGTACGAGCCACGTGTTGACCTCACACTTCACTTCCTTCCGCTCCCTCCCCCCCACCCCACCTGCCTGTGTGCCTCAGTCCAAGGAGCTGCTGCGCAAGAGCGTACCCAAGGCCATCGGGGTGATAGGGTACGACCAGGTGGACTTCTTTGGCTGGCTGGGACTCACGCTCGCCGTGCAGGTGAGGAAGGGGAGATGTGGTGAGGGGTGAGGGGGGTGGGTGGGAGGGGTGAGGGGGGTCGAAAGGGGAGGGGGTAAGAGAGTTATTGGGTGCGACTGGGTGGACTTTTGAGGCGCCTGAAAAGGGGTGAGGGGGGTTGGGAAGGGGGGGTTGGGAAGGGGGGGTTGGGAAGGGGGGGTTGAGAGAGCGAGTGGGTGCGAACACGTGGAATTTCACGGATGGCTTGGGTGGGGCCCATGCTGGGCATGCAGGTGAGGGGGGAGAGCAGTGGGTGGGGATGAGCAACACGCTCGCTAAGGCTCGCTAATGGGATATTTGAATCATCTCTCTTTCTCCTCCATCTCTCTTCTCTCTCCGTATTATCCCCTCCTTCTACTTATACCCCCCCTCTCCGCCCATCCTCACTCATCTCCCCTCTGCTCGGTTCCCCTGCAGACCCAGCCCACCATCGCCTTTGTGAGAGGCAGCCATCCCACCTTCCTGTCTTACCGCAAGGTGAGTCAACGCCAGTCAATGCAAGTCAACGTAGGTTGACTCAAATGCCAGGAAACTTAGAGACATGGGTCGACCGCATAGCGTGTGGGTCAGCGCGAGTCAACGCGGCGGTGCATGCAATGCAAGTCACCGCTGAGAAATGCTGGTTTCGATTCGAACCGCAGTAAGCCTGCTAAGAGTATGGATCGATCTATACTACTCTACTCGGTCACCGCTACGGTTGACCAAACAGGGACCGGACAGGATCTATTTATTCCGTGGTATTTATTATCGTCACCCTCACTGTCCCTCTGTCCTGCCCCCTCCTCTCGCTCGCCCGCCTTCCCCCAATTAGGGCACATACGACGACCGTGCGTGTGCAGCAGGTGTGGTGGGGTGGATCACAGCGTGGTGGTGGTGGGATGGGGTATGAGAGAGACAGCTGTGGTCTGATATCTACCATCGTCCGCACCCTCCCTCTCTCTTGTCGCCTCTCAGGGCACGCGCAGCGACCGTGCGTGTGCGGCGTGGGTGGTGGATCACAGCGTGGTGGTGGTGGTGGGGTATGAGCTGGACGCCTGTGGTCTGATATGCATTGTTCTGCCCACTCTCCCTTTCTCCACCCTCCCCTCAGGGCACGCGCAGCGACCGTGCGTGTGCGGGCGGAGTGGTGGATCACAGTGTGGTGGTGGTGGTGGGGTATGAGCTCGACGCCTGTGGTCTGATATCTATTGCTCCCCCACTCTCCCTCTCTGCCTCCCCCTCTCTTGCCCACCCCCTCTCTCCTTCCCCCTCCCAATCAGGGCACGTACAGCGACCGGGCGTGTGCGGGGGGCGTGGTGGATCACAGTGTGGTGGTGGTGGGGTATGAGCTAGACGACTACAACACTCTGCCCTACTGGATCATCCGCAACTCGTGGGGCGACAAGTGGGGCGAGAAGGTGCGTGGGTGGGACGATGGGAAGGGTGAATGGGGGGCAGGGCAGGGCAGTGGTTGTTGTGGTGGTGGTGGTGGTTGTTGTGGGGGGGGAAGAAAGGGTGGGTGGTGGTGGTGGGGTATGAGCTGGATAACTACGATACTCTGCCCTACTGGATCATCCGCAACTCGTGGGGCGACAAGTGGGGCGAGAAGGTGCGTGGGTGGTGCGGGATGGGATGGGATGGGATGGGATGGGATGGGATGGGATGGGATGGGATGGGATGGGATGGGATGGGATGGGATGGGGTGGGGTGGGGTGGGGTGGGATGCGTTGGCATCTGCAGCTTATATGCACACACTTCTTGAGTCCGCTCTCACCACGCATATATGCACTCTCCTCGCTCCCCTTACCCCCCCCCCCCCCCCCCACCTCCTCCTCCTTGCTTCCCTCATTTCCGCCTTCGCCTTCCCCCTCCCCCTCCCGCAGGGCTACATGCGCATGGCCATGGTGGGAGGCATCGGCATCAGCAGGTTAGATGCGTGCCCCTCTTGCGTACATTCACTCTCCCCACCCCCCCACTCTCTCCCCCCTCCCCCTCCCGCAGGGCTACATGCGCATGGCCATGGTGGGAGGCATCGGCATCAGCAGGTTAGATGCGTTGCGTACATTCACTCTCCCCACCCCCCCACTCTCTCCCCCCTCCCCCTCCCGCAGGGCTACATGCGCATGGCCATGGTGGGAGGCATCGGCATCAGCAGGTTAGATGCGTGCCCCTCTTGCGTACATTCACTCTCCCCACCCCCCCACTCTCTCCCCCCTCCCCCTCCCGCAGGGCTACATGCGCATGGCCATGGTGGGAGGCATCGGCATCTGTGGTATTCACTCAGTGCCGGCCATCTACCCCGTTATTAAGAGTGAGTGGACCTCATGTTCCCCACTTCTGTGCGTGCGCGACATGCGCACATGTGCATGCGCGCACACACACGTGCACGCACATGCACACACATGCACACACATGCACACACATGCACACACATGCACACACATGCAGTAACATGCACCCTAGGCCCCTTGCCCTGCAACGCCGAGATGAGTTCACTAAGGTGGGAACACTGCAAACCACTCTAGATCGTCCTACAATGCCTCATCTCCTCCCCTAGCCCCTCCTCTTCTCCCCTTCTCCTCTCTGTCTTTCCTCCCTCCCGCCCTCCCTCCCTCCCTCCCTTCCTCTTCCCCCACCCAGCCCCTTCGCCCTGCAACGACCAGATCAACCCATGCGGGTGGGAGGACTGCACCGCCAACTCTGGCAACTCAACCGCTCTAAACCACTCTGCAATGCCTCACACCACCGTCTCCTCTCCCTCCCTCCCTTCCTCTTCCCCCACCCAGCCCCTTTGCCCTGCAACGACCAGATCAACCCATGCGGGTGGGAGGACTGCACCGCCAACACTGCCGACCGAACTGCTCTTGACCGTTCTTCAATTCCTCATACCGCTGTCCTTCTCTCTCCTCTTCTCTTCCCCCCTGCCTCCCTCCCTGTCCCCGCACCAGCCCCCTCGCCCTGCAACGACCAGATCAACCCGTGCGGGTGGGGAGACTGCGAGGCCAACACTGACGGCCCCTCCCCACCCTATGTGTGCTCCTGTGCGGACGGCTTCGTACCCGTCACCAACAACGACGGCACCCCCACCTGCGCTCTAGGTATGTGGCTGTGCTGCTGCTGTGTGCTGCTGCTGTTGGCCTGGCTGGCTTCTCTTTGCCCCTCTCTGCTGCCAGACTGCCAGCGCTCTTTGCTTCAGCTGTGTGCCGCTCTTTGCTCCCACGCCCCTCTTCTCTGCCCTATCTGTGCTCCTGTGCGGACGGCTTTGTGCCCGCCACCAACA